TCTCGGCGGACACAACATCTTTGTTGGTATGTGGTGCTGAGGATCGAACCCGGGCCGCACGCATGCCAGGCGAGCGCGCTACCGCTTGAGCCACATCGCCAGCCCCAACAATTTGCATTTTAAACAGGCATCCTGGGTAATTAAAATGCATTGGTCCTTGGCCTATACTTTTAGAAATAAGGATTTGAAATTGTAGGAAAATCCAGGTTCTGAAGCTTGACTATTTTGAAATAGTAGGTTTTGGGAGGAAATGGCCCAGACTTGAATTTCTCTGCTGCTTCTTTCTGTTCAACTTTCAGTTTTGCTAGGTGAGATTCCTTCACTTGACACTCTTCAATATATTTTGAATGCCAAGCACTGCTATCCCTTAGGGATAGTGGGAAATAAGACATAGAAAGTCCTTGTTCTCAATCCTAGTGGATAAGATCCAATTGATAGAGGACAACTCCTCTCTAATGGGCCCAAACTTTGAATGCAATATCTTTCTTCCTTAATCTATCTATATGAGGTCCCCTTTGCTCGTTATCTGGCCATGAATAAATTGAAGAAGATGAAACGCTACCAAGTTGGAAAGGTGTGGCGGCGAGAGAGCCCAACAATAGTCCAAGGCCGCTACAGGGAGTTCTGCCAGTGTGTAAGTGACCTGATGGGGATAGCACAGCTTGATAGTTAAACAGAGAATTGACTGATTAGTGGAAGTTTTTTCCTTTTTTTTTTCTTTACTGTAGGATTTTGACATTGCTGGTCACTTTGACCCTATGATCCCTGATGCAGAATGTTTGAAGATCATGTGTGAAGTCCTAAGTGGGTTACAGCTAGGGGACTTTCTCATTAAGGTGAGGCCTAGGCTGAGGACTGGGGGAGATGTCTGGATTTGGCCTGATAATGTGAATATACATGTACTCTTTTGGTAAGATTTTTTTTTTTTCTTATTCCTGTTATGAGTCAGGAGGTTTTAAGGGAAAGGGTCTTGACAAGGCACTTGGGTTACTCGCATTGAATTTACAGGTCAATGACCGGCGGATAGTGGACGGGATGTTTGCTGTTTGTGGTGTTCCTGAAAGCAAGTTCCGTGCCATCTGTGCCTCAATGGACAAACTAGACAAGGTAATGAAGAAACCATGCTTCAGAAGACCCTATTTGGATTTCTGCCATGTCCTCAAATTCATACCATTTGAAGAAAATAAGGAACAGTGTCTGGAAGTGAGTTCTTGAAGGAGGAAGTTAAGGAGATATTCCGAAGCAAGATCTGAGTTGTACTGTATGGTGAGGATAGTGGCTGAGTATCTTAGACTGCCTCTGAGGGCTTGGATTGTGGCTCAGTGTTAGAGTGCTTGCCTAGCATGTGTGAGGCACTGGGTTTGACTCTTAGCACTGCATATAAATAAATGAATAAAATAAAGGTTCATCAACATCTAAAAAATATTTTTAAAAAAACTGCCTCTGAGTACACTAATATACTTAACTATTTATGACATATTTATTAAATGACAGATACCCTTTTCCAGTTAGACAAAGGATTTGGAACTGAGCTAACATTTGGATATTTATACAGATGTCTTGGAGAGATGTGAGACATGAGATGGTGGCAAAGAAAGGCTTGGCTCCTGAGGTGGCTGATCAAATTGGGGAGTATATCCAATGTCATGGTAAGAACCAGGGTTTTCAGAGCAATGATAGAACCAGGCTGCTGCTGACATTTTCAGTTTCCACCTCCAAATCAGCTACTTTCTATAGATGTATTTATTAAGCTTCAGAGCCTGGTCTGAATTTAGTTTTCCTTTTACTTAAAATAAGTATGTTATATCTTCAAATGGCAGAGGTAAAGGCAGGGGAGGAGGACCTCATGATACGAGACCATGATCTTCTCTTTCTCCTTCTCCTTCATTTTAAAAACAAGATAAATTTGGATGAAGTACATCCGGGTAGATAGCATACACCTTATTGCTCCCTACATTTCTTCCCAGGTGGAGTATCTCTGATAGAGCAATTGTTTCAGGATCCCAGACTATCCCAGAATAAGCAGGCCCTGGAGGGCCTAGGGGACCTGAAGTTGCTTTTTGAATACCTGACTTTATTTGGAATTGCTGAGAAGGTAAGCTGAGTTGGGAGTGGACCTCTTGTGTCGTGAGAGCCTGGTCTGGGATTGACTATAGCCTTGTCCCCACAGATATGCTTTGACCTAAGCCTGGCTCGGGGCATGGACTACTATACAGGAGTGATCTATGAAGCAGTACTGCTACAAACCCCAGCTCAGGCTGGGGAGGAGCCCCTGAATGTGGGCAGTGTGGCAGCTGGTGGGCGTTATGATGAGCTGGTGGCCACATTTGACCCCAAGGGCCACAAAGTGCCATGTGTGGGCCTAAGCATTGGAATAGAGCGAATTTTCTACATTGTGGAGCAGAGGATGAAGGTAGGTCCTAGGTAGGGCTGAGATAGGGCTAGAGATCTAAAAATCTATTTCTGGCAGTATAGTTGGACTGTTTTTCTGATAATTTATTTATCTTGGTTTTTGGAATTGCTGGTGCAGAGGATGTTTTTATTAATTTTACTTTCTTCTGTTTCTTATCAGAATTCTTTCAAGAAGGTACGGACCACAGAGACCCAAGTATTTGTGGCCACGCCCCAGAAGAACTTTCTCCGGGAACGGTTGAAACTAATTGCAGAGCTTTGGGATGCTGGAATCAAGGTATAGTGGGGCTGCTATCTGTGCCATTTAGGCATATATGGAACTCAGGAGCAAGGCTTATTTCTACTTTTTTTAGTATACCACTAGAGGGCCAGCCACTTATTTCTGGCTTCCTTGGAAATGTATGTTTTTGGAGTTTATGTGCTATGGTGATAGTAGTAAGGTCCCCTACTGTGTCTTGACTCCTTTCAGGCAGAGATGCTATACAAGAACAACCCTAAACTATTAACCCAACTGCACTATTGTGAGAACACAGGCATTCCATTGGTGGTCATTATTGGTGAGCAAGAACAGAAGGAAGGGGTCATCAAACTCCGTTCGGTGGCCAGCAGAGAGGAGGTGAGTGGGAGCAGGCAGAAATAGAAGGGATCAAGTGCTTGTATCTTTTCTAGATTCTTAAGAAATATGTGTTTTCTGGCTGAGAAAATAAATTCAGGGGTAGTAGTATTAGGGTTGAATGAAGACCTACCCCAAACAACAGTTGTAGCCAGTGAATATTGGCTGTGTGGGCAGAAGAAGGACAAATGAAATTTGAATTGGTGTTTTGAGACTAATCAACAAAATAGATAAGATGTTTTAATCCTTTTCGTCTTGAGGGCATACATTTTCTCGGTAAACTTGGAGCCTTTACTACTCCCTACTGGTTGCATAAATAGTTGGAACTGATACAGAGTAAAATAAATCTGGAAAAACAATGGCTAAGAAGATAGTACCCTTTCTAGTTTGTCACATGAGGGTTCTCTTATGTTTTAGGTTGCCATTAAACGGGAAAATCTTGTGGCTGAAATTCAGAAGAGATTGTCTGAGTCTTGATCCTTGCCTGATTGCCATCTGCTGCTCTTTGTAGAAAAATTTTCATCCAGGACTGAATTCCTGATAGACTTCACAACAGCTGGCCAGGATGGGTGACAAGTGCCTTCTGCCTCCTCTGTCCTTTCTGAATACGGAACTATAGAAGGCCCTAAGGACTCTTGGGCTAGTGTAAGCAGCTACTCTGCCTGGTGCAGATGGCTGGTATGTGAAAGAGACATACTTTTGCTGTAGAGGCAAATTTGAAATGCCTCTGAATGCTATGAAGAGGTGCTAAAATGGTTGCTGTGATTAAGGCTCTGGAAGAGTTGCCTCAGGCTGAGGATTCTGAACCATGGAGATCAGATGACAGATACTTAGCTTTTCATTGTAGTGTTGGAACCAGATTCTGGGGAATTTGTCCACAAGTCCTTGGCCTGTCCAGAGAGTTTTGTGAAGACAGCACGGATGGACAATGGCTATTTTCTGCTACATCTGAGGACATAGATGGTATCTCAAGAGCATGGTATTATTTCTAGCCTATCCACTGGTAACAGTAGCAGGATGGGGCTGTCTGTTTAATAACCTTGAATATTGAACTTAATAGGTGAATTGAATAGATGGGAGATCTGATCTTTTGAGATTTTGGAGACCATTTTCTATGCCAGAATCATTGCTGTGACTATTCTACACTGCCATGGAGGCTCTTCTAGAATTGGTTGGATAAAATATTAAATAAAATATTAAGTGTAATAGTTTGGGTAATTTGCTATCATGGGGTTCATTTGCATAGGCCATAGAAAATGATTGAGTGTACACTAGAGAATTCTGTGAGCTAGGAGAAACCTCCCTGGGGTGATACTTCTGCATTTAGTAAAGGGAGCTGCCACAGTTCCCTCTTTCTATTCTCCCTTCATACAGTTATGTCACTAAAAATCACCATATTGTGAGCCATTTGCCAGAATGCTTCACTTTAGGATGGTGTGCTGATGACCTTTCTTTCCATATCTAATCCTGTTGATTAAATTGTGCCCTACAAACTGAATGGCCAATTCAATGAAAACTGAGTTAAGGAGTGGGTGGGTCCATTATTTCAAGAACTAGGGCCCAAGTGCAAAAAGAGTTTTTCTTCTGTGCCTGGGGAAAGGTAGCAGCTGTTGCAAATATCCTTTAGCTTAGGACCATATTCCTAGTGCTTGCTGGTGAATGGAACTTATAGATCCCCTAATTAGCACTTCAGCCTTTCAAAGGTTAGAAACTCTTTTTGACAATACATGCATAGTTGACTGGATTAGATCAACCCCTTGACAATAAACGAATAGTTGATTGGATTAGATCAACTCCTTGACAATACATGTATAGTTGATTGGATTAGATTAGTTTCTGAAACTCAGTTTCCTTTTTTGTAAAACAGATGAGTTGAACTAATAATCCTTTGATGGTTGTTTTGAAAGCCTGAGTTAAAAGAACGCTTGCAGGCGCCCTTACTTCCGCGTTGCTTCACGCTCTCATTACGCCTGCGCCATCTCCTAGGAGCGGAGGCGGGGCCGACGAGCGAGTATTAGAAGCTCTCCAGTCCTTAGCGCGTTTTAGAACACGGGGCTCTAAACTTATTGGACGGCGGTCTTGCTTTACAGCTCCAGGCCGCTTTTTACGGCATTTTCCGGCTTTCCATTCACTTCGCTGTGAAGATGGCGTCGGGCAGCGGGGTAGGTGTTGTGTGTGAGGAGAATGTTTGCGGGTAAGGGCGGGTGTGCTTTCTCGTCGCTGAATAGAGACAGACAACGGCACCCGACTGGCTTCCCAACACCACTTGGCGATCCCAGGGTCTGGGTTCGAGAACTCCCCCTTAAGGTCCAGGCGCAGAGACCGGTGAACTCGCGGAGGTCTCTCGGGTTGGGGTCCTGAGTCCATCTTAGCCTCCTAGTGCGGTCGAGAGAAGCTTCGCTTTCGGAAAGTCCGGGGTTGACTTGGTGGCGAGAACACTGTCACCTCATTTTCTCTAGGGGTCTGGACACCATTAGCGACGGATCTTGAGCACTTTTTTCCCCTACAGACAAAAAACTTGGACTTTCGCCGAAAGTGGGACAAAGATGAATACGAGAAGCTCGCCGAGAAGAGGCTCACGGAAGAGAGAGAGAAGAAGGATGGTGGGTGCCCACTTCAAGGGTTAAGGGTATCATAGAGGCGATGCAATGGCTGGAGAGTGGGTGGGAGTTGAAAAGCGCTGCTCACTTGCCTCATGTCATCTCTGGGAGCGTGGCTTCCCTGGTCTTCGGTTTCTACATGTATAACAAAATGAGAGCGAGAAGGTGGACTGAAGTTGAGTTTCTTTTCAGCTTTGTTATCCTCTGCTTCCTTGCCATTCTTTCGCTTGTTCAATTAGTGCTTTCTTGAAGGACATACAGAGGAGACTGGAATTTGCAGTAGTAACAAAGAATAAGCAAAGTGGAATAGTTTACTGCCGAACACTACTGCTGTCTTTTGAAATTTCTTAAGGAGAGAAGGCCCAATCAAGACCCTCCCGCAAAGTCTCAGAAAAGCAGGGGTACCCACGAGGAATTTGTGATTGTTTCATGTGATGCTTAGTGGATGCTGTTTCTCAGTACCTGGTACAGTGTCAGGGAATTGGTGCTCCTCTTCGTTTTACAAAAAAAAAATTTCTTATTTTCTCATCTGTTTTCAAACATAGTCTTATGCTTTACTTCCATACCACCTTATCTAATATTAATCCTCTTTGTTTTTTATGTAATGTGTATAATAAATAGTGCTTGGTGTGCCTGTTAAATGAATAAGTATTTCCCAAATGTTAGGTGGTCTTTTTAAAAATTTGACCGAGTGTTCCTTTTTGTGTGGTGCTTAGGGTATCTGTATGCATAAAAGCATTACTGAGTGCCTTGCTTCTCTTAAAAAGGTAGCTTTTGGTGGAAATACATATCTCCCCTTCAGTTAAGTTAATGAATAGAAAACATGTTGCTTCTAGACTTGCTGACTTTATTTTTTATTAGATTGGTACCAGGGATTGAGCCCAGGGGTGCTTAACCACTGAGCTACATCCCCAGCTTTTTTTTTTTTTAATATAT